AGATACGAGAGAAGAGGGAGAAAGAGAGAAAGGAAATAAAATCGAATGAAAATAGAGAGACGCGTTTCTCCGTTTTAGATCTCGAAGCGAGCGTGGGACAGGAGAAGTGCACGTGGAAAATAGAAGCAACGAATCGAAATACTATTAAAAAGTTAAATCGAAACGGGGGAAAGGAAACGGGGTGATATTCGAAGTTAAGATTGAAGGGAGGGGAGGAGTGTGTGCAATCAAACTGTGTACAGATGTAGATATACGATATGTAACGTTTGCAATGTATCTACTTCAAAAAATTTAGAACGTATATTATCTCTCGTTTTTTTTTTTTTTTTTTTTGAAATATCAAAAACAAAAGTTTTTGGCAAAAATTTAATAATTTCGAGGGAACGAATTAAAATTCTCTATCTTTTACAAAATATATGCAAAAGTGTATGTACATTATTAAAGGGATTACACGTGTTTTCCCTTCGTTTAATTATCCTTTTCTTATCGTTTGGAATTTCTTATCGTTTTATCGTTGGAGGAGAAGTAGAAGGGGTGGTTGATCGTATTGGATTGGCAATTAATTTCGACGCAATGGATTAAACAGCGTTTCTCTGTTCGGGATAGGACCAACGTGCAATTATTTGTAGGGAACGCGAGCTCTGTAAACAACCGTTAGTTGATACGTCAAACAGGCTCTATTTGGCAAGATAATCTGTTAGCAACGGCATTTGAACGCTTGTGTTTAGCGCGTTAGTTAAATGAACAGACTTTTTCGATTATAGTTTATTATATCGTGCATTTGCTTGCAATTATCAGGATTTCTTGCAATTCATTTAAAAGCATCATAAGACGAATCAACCTCATATTTTATGTGTTTAAATAAACTGCGTTTTAACAACACGTTTACTTGAAAATAAAAAAAAAAAGAGAGTAAATTACAAATAATTCCGTGGAAATTAACAAAATAGAATTCGTGATTTTCACGGTTGAAGAGTTAAAAGAAAAAAAGAAAAGAAAAAAAAAGAAAAAACCTCGGTATTTCTAATAATTTACGAGAAAACAACTCGTGATACTTTCGTGCACCAGGCCACCCTGTATAAAAACTCTTATAAATCCCTGTTGGTTTCTCTCCGGTTCCGTAACAACGGGCCACTCGACGGAACACACTTCCTCCTCCACCTCCTCCTCCTCCTCCTCTTCTAGCTTGGAAAAGAAAAAAATTTCTTTTCAAGGAAACGCTGCACCGCGTTTCCATTAATAAACAAACGGCACGAAGCGGCGTGGGAGGAAAGATACGAGGCGCGGAGAAAAGATCGAGTGATGAAATAAATACAAATAAAAAAACAAAGAAATTTTAAAGTTACACATCGCAGATGTCACGGTAGTATAATTTCGATCAACGATATTCAATAACGATAACGATATAATGAAAATGTTTCCAGGAAATTCCACGAACGAATCGTTGTTTCTTCCAATGTTCGAAAGAAAAAAGAAAGAAGGAAAAGAAGAAAGGGAGGAGACGAAGCTCGAATCCCAGAAGGGAAATCCCTTAACGGGGAAGAAATAATCGAACAAGACCGCGCACTAAACTCGCCCTTCCTTCCGGGCTAATGGTTTAATCCTAACACGGATGTTAACCAGATTACCATCGAAAGGGGGGAGAGAAGGGCAGCGCGGTCGCTCCAGAACAAATTAGCCGCGATTACCTGGATAACGACAAAAAGGGTGGAACGTCGCGATTCGCGCCACGATGGCTGCCCTCCGCAATTTTCTGCTACGTCGCTCCCCTTCGTACCGGGGCACCAACCTCTCGACCCGAGGATTGTTCCTCCTCCTTTGGCTCCTCCACGCTCCACGGATTATTGCTGCCTCGATTTCGTGCCTCGGTGGTGAATGGTGGCGAGGGCGTGGGGACGTGACAACTCGATACGTTTCGAAAAAAAATTTTAAATGGAATCCACCTTGTATATTTGTCGAAGAATCTTCGAAAAAGATCGAGTCGAAATCTTCTTCGAGAAAATGCAGAAGAATAATTTTTATTTTTTTTTTTTTTCTTTTTTAAAGTTAAACGAGAGAGAGTTTTATTATTGTTCGAGTTTTGTATATGGATTTTTATACGGGAGGAAAGAGAAGAATATTAAAGGTATAATTTTTCCACAAATAATACGTTGATAAATTGATAAATCTGAAATGAAATGTTTTAAAAATATATCAGTTAATTTGTAATTGAAGGACATTTTTGGGCTCGAACGTTGATACAAGAGGATTGAATTCGCGATAATTCGTATCGAGGTATATCGGTATGTAGCTACCCGTCAAAGGGATTGATTAACTTTTGATCTGTCAATTAAATCTTTTAGGAACTACCTTGATCGATGTAAATTGGAAATTACATAGAGAGGGGAATATTGGAAATTTTTTCCCCCTGGAAGAAAAATTAATTTTGATCTGAGAATGGGATTGAAAAACGAATTTATAAGTTTGTAAACTATCGTTGAACGTGGATTTTTCGAAAGAGAAAAATTCGAGTCGCGTCCATCCATTAATTTCCAATAATCGAATCACATTTTGTCAACGTTCCACGTTTTTTTTTTTTTTTGAAGAGAGATAATTGCGTCGACAACTGAATTTAAATCCAAGCGTTACCTTATTAACCTGCCTGAAATTTAATCTCTGGTTGTTGCGAATGTTCATAATTATTCCATATCTCTTGTACCCCTCCTTCCCTTACAATTTCCAATTTCCAATTCCAACTACTACTCCACCATTATAAATTTCTTTGAAAATGAAAATATTAAGATTATTAAAAACAACTCGAATGTGCTTTCTTTTTTAGAAATAATATTTCATCTATATTTCTTCATTCTCTCCAACGCAATTTCAATATTTAAAGTTCCATTTTTATTTATTTATTTTTTTTTCTTTTCAAAACTTTTACATGAACTTCCTGAGAGATCTATAATTACATCAAGGACTAGAGAAAATACACATTTAATCTTTGACATTACCCTCCCCCTGTAACAAAAAAAAAAAAAGAAATTTCTGAAAATACGAAGAACGAGGAAAGAAATTATCAAAAAACTGGCGGAAAAGATTGATGAAACGTGTCGATCCGGACAGAAATAATAGACGGATCCTTGGTGTGAGCTACGCGGATCGTACCGAGAAAAACGAATATATTAGCCTGTCCAGTCGTTCGTTGACCATTATTCCCGTTCTCTTTGATTTTTCGAGCCATTTGCCGGCCTCTGCCAGTCCGCAGCCGCTTCATCACGTTTTTATGGCGGTATAATTCAGGGCCAGTATAATATCTGTGAGCCCTGGCCGGTGGCACCAACAGAAGTGAGTCCTTCTCTCTGCGGTCATCGTGGT